AGATATACAAATTGCAACACTTTTATCAACAACAATTAGAAATAGGACTTGCACTAAATAGAAATAATAAAAGTTTCTTGAAAAAAAAATATATATATTCTTCCATTTATAAATCATTTTTAGTTTCATATACAATTCATTATTGGGCATGTAGATATATATGTTGTATTTGTGAAGAATAGTATTAATCATGTTCTTATTCTTTATTTTGAATTTGAATAGTCTTGGATGAACATGTTATATGCGGAAATTATAATCAACGGGCAACATTCAATAAATTGTGAATTCTTTTTCAAGAATTAAAGGGTATCTTAAATGAAGATTTCTCATAATATAATAAACAATTTGTGGAAAAATACCTAATATCATTACAAATATTTTGCGCAATTAGGGATACGCTCGTGTACCCTGATTATATTTTTAAAAGCAAAAAAATTCGGATTATGCGTACGCGGAATTTCGAGCGAATATTTAATAAAAGGTTTTCCAAAGGCGTTAAATCAATTTCATAAAAACCCGAGATGTACGGTTCACTATTTAAGAAAAATCAAATATTCTTGATTCGACACAATTTCGAAAAATGATTGTTTAATAAATATCTTACCAAAAGTTATCGTGTACACGTACGCGTGACACAATTCCGCATTTTTAAATTTATAACACGAATATACGTACGCGTAATTCGATTCAAAGAAGGGTCCTCAATCACAATAAGTATAAGCGGTAGTAAAATCATGTAACATCAATATATTTAATAAAATCAAGATAATTAAGCCAATAATAAAAACAGTTAAGCGACCGTGCTAGAACCACGGAATTCGGAAATGCCTAACACCTTCTTCCGGATTAACAGAATTCCTTACTCAGGATTTCTGGTTCGCAGAATAATAAACAGAGTCATATTCTCCTCGATTCAGGGATTGAAATTGGTGACTTGGGACGCCTTAAAATTCCCAGGTGGCGACTCTTAAATAATTAAATAAATCCCGTTTCGACTGTCCTTTAATTGGAGAAAACTCCCCACGCGCCCCGCGGGCGCGGTAAAAAGGAGGTGCGACACCACTTACAAAAGGCCTAACTAAAGAGGCAGTTGAGAAATCATCAAGGGAAATGTGACTGTGGCCGAGAACAAGTCATAGTGACAGTAACTCAACCTAGAAGACTGGAGATCCTAAGATCTAGGTTCAAGGAAACCAGGCGGTATTCATGGCTGAAACGAACACAACAATGAGAATCAAAGACAGTTAAGGGTTGGTTGTGTGATTTATGGTTGTCTAGGTATATACCAAAGTTCGACGGTTCAAAGATATCAAATCTACTGATTGATCGAGTATATCCGACAGAAGTTCACTACGAAAAGTTCAAAGGGAAACCTCCTTATCCAGATGCAATTAATCCTTGCTTGCGAATCACACAGTTTTTCATGCATACTTCTGCGATATAGCCATTCCCCATTCATGTGGGGGATTGTTGGGTTTTTATGTATTTAAGTATATTAAATATTTAAAAGAGGGTGAATGGGAAATGGAGGAAAATGAAATTTTTGAGTGAAATTTTAAGGTTTCCCCTTGGCAAAAGGACATCGTCTCATATTGGAAGAGAAAGAGTTTTTTTATGGGTATATAAACAATTTATCTTCTTCTAGCTCTTAAAGAGTTAAGAAGAAGGCAAGCCTCGCGCAGTCGTCGTCGCTCGCTCGACTCGGCTTCGGCTTCGGATTGGGTCAAATGATCGATTGATTGATTAATTTTTTGGACCTAATTTATTTGTTAATAGTAAAATATTAATAGAAATGTTATTAAATATTTGTTTTAATAACAGAATATTAATATTAAATCCAATCCGTTTTTCTGTTTTGGTAACAGAAAATTAACTACCCTCTTCAATTTTCCCTCTTTATTGTTGAGTAAATAGCCATTTATGTTATGACATTTATGCTGTGACCATTTTGCATAAACAACCACTCTGAATAGTTGCACCTCTTCAAATTTCAACCCAACTTTGGCTATAAATACAAGACTATTCTGCTCAGAATTTCCATACGATTTTCTGAGTTTTTTCTCCTTCTTCTGCATAGTTTAATCCTCAAACAAAGCAACAGTAAGTGTGATTTGCTACCGAACTTTGTGTTTGCTGAAACACTGGGGTTTGAAGTACCACTACACCATTGTGAAATTCGTTCTATCCTGGGAGGAAATAATCCACAACCTTGGGTACTAGGAGGGGGATTAAATTCCTTAAGGAAACACTGTGAATTCAGTGGGCTCGAATTATTTTTTTGTTATTTCGTTGTTCATTTCTGTTTATGTTCATTTATATTTTTCAGAATTATTTTACAAATACAGTTTACTAACAAAATCTTCCGGTAGATTTTCCACCAGGATAATCAACACCATTGTAAGGGAAATTAGCTTTAATAATTGTACCAAAATGGTTGTTATTTACAACGTCTACAAGGGAGTCACCAAACATGTATGTTGCTGGCACTGTCTGTGCTACACATAGTTCAAAATATAAGAGAAAGAAAGAAGAAAACAACAAGAAGAAACTCAAGAAAGAAGAAGAAGAAGCCATTGATGTTTAGAAAGAGAAGAGACAGAGGAAGCGACGAGCAGGAGTAGCTGTCTCTAGAAATGAGCAGCAGTCTCTGGGTGGACTTTGAGAGAATGAGAGAAGAGAACGAGAATGAAATAAGATTATACCTAACCCTAAAAATAAAATTAGTATTTATACTTCCCCTAATAAATTCGGATGTCAGATCGGATCAGGTTCAAACTATACAAATCCGAATCCAATCTGAAAATTCAAAATTTTAATAAATCAAATCCGAATCCGATCCAAATATCCAAAATCCGAAATTGAGCGGATCGATTAGGATTTTGGATATCCGCTCCAAATGCACAATCCTAGCCGGCCCTTCACCTATGACCCCAGAATTATGAGTTTGAGTCATCAAAGAGCAATAAATCTAAGGGAATGAGAATAAAAAAAGTGGAAAAAAAAGTTTGACAAAATGAAGAAGTTTTATTTTGTGTCTTATATAACTGACACTAGTTGTATGCGGCTCCTTTTTGTCTCACAAATTTGTGGACCCCAATCTTACACTTCTGGGTTCACAAAAATCCGGGTCCACAAAACTGTAAGACAAAAAAGATACCTCATACAACTGGTGTCAGTTGTATGAGACACAAAATAAAATTTTCCGACGAAATGTGATTCAATTGGAAGGCGGATTTGATACTCGGTGTCAGAAGTAGCAAATTATTACTCCCTCCGTTTCAATTTATGTGAACCCATTTGACTGGACACGAAGTTTAAGAGAAGAGAGAAGACTTTTGATCTTATGGTGTAAAATGAAGCACATATATTTTGTGTGGCTATAAATCATTCTGTAAGAGTAAATTGTTTCCAAATAAGGAAATAAGTCATTCTTTTTGGCACAGACTAAAAAGGAAATAGGTTCACATAAATTGAAACGGAGGGAGTACTAAACATTACTTAATTATTAATATGCCTAAAAGACATGTGGTGATATTTGAGCCTGTACGAGTTGTCCCAATCAAGAGCCAGGTGGAGGTTCGTCAAAAAATGGCTGATAGAAAAGGTAACCACTATAGTATTATTGATAGCTCTAAATTCTAATGGATAATAAAGTTAAGCTAAAGTTTATAGCTTATGGATAACATAGGACCTTTTTCCTTTGTTCTGTTTAATGTATAATAATAATTATTGTTTTGAGAAATAAATCTTTTAGCAAATTTAACAACCAAATATAAGAAGTAATCATCTAAAGTATGCCCTATAAAACAAGGTGACCACATACATAAACTCAATAATATTAGGGGAAAAAAGAAAAGGAAAAAGAACCGAAAAAAAAGAAGGTCAATACATGATTGAATTAAGGCCTAAAATGGGTAGAAAAATTAATATAATTTGGACTAACGCTTGTGATGTCAACCTCCTTGTAGTTAGGAGTGAAGCTACGTGGGCACAGGGGTTCACTCAAATTTAATTTCTTTGTCATAAAAATTATATTTAAGATCAAAATTATTTTCTATAGAAATATAATAAATGTTGAATTTTCTTCATTTTTTTGTATATTTAATTTTATATATTTTAATTTTTTTAAGTAAAAAATCCTTATATCGCCATTATTTTTAGTGACATGATTTGGTCCCCGCTGGGCGTACGCAGAAAATTTTGTAAGCGGTGTCGAAATTTATAAAAGAACTGGAGTATAACTTTGATTATCATACTTTTAGACAAAAAATAACCTTAGTCTGATTTTGTTGAGTCTTAAGTTAGAAAAGGTGTTCAATTCTATTTCATCACAATTTTTACTACAAAGGCCCTCTCAAATATTTGGTAAAGAAAAATGTCCTAGTTGAGGTTTGAACCTTTGACCTCTTAGAAAAAAAGCAAGCACATTACCAACACAACAAGACACNATATATATATATATATTTAGTAAAATTTTCGAACGAAGCGGTGTCGCGTGACACCGCTTCGGCAGGAATAAATTCGCCCCTACCGCTAAATGCTCCACACTCTCAAAAAATGGTAGCCCAATTTATAAGATATTCCCTGTTCATGTAGGGTGTGAGGAGACCCCAACTGGTGTAATATAGATAACATGACCATTAGGTCCTATGCTGTTACTCCTAAATTATCCTATTCTTATTTAATACTTACTTTATAACTAAAGCACAGTGCAATTATTAACATACAAACAATTCAATATTAAATAAGTCATTGAGTAACTGAAGACAGTGCTTTGATCATCATTTCTAAGCGTTGCATTGCTTTATCCAAAAGTAAGAAAATAGTGTCGGTAGCTTAGTGCAAATAACAAAACACTAGTACTACTTTCACAGTGAGCTCTAGCACTGAGCCATGGCTGCTGCAGAGATTTCACTATCACTTTCACCATTTTCTTTACTTGTCTTAGCAAGATTTTCAGGTTCCATTGTTGCCCTTCTTGTTCTTACTTGGGCTCTTCACTTCAAGACTAGCTTTTACCCTCATTCTTCTTCTAAAGAAGACCTTATTTATGCTGTAAGTACTGAGCTCTTTTGTACCTTAGCTTTGTAATGTTGTACCATTTGAACTAAAACTTGCTGGTTTTTTTATATTTTAAAGTTATGTTGTTTGGTTTTAATTTGCAGGTGCTTCATCCATTATTAATGGTAATTGGCTTCATTCTTATAAGTGGAGAAGGTGAGTTTAACTTCTTTTTACACTGTGGTAATCCACAGAGCCAGAGCCGAATCTAGGATTTAGATTTTATAGGTTCAACTTTTAAGGTTTTTAGCATTGAACCCGTTATATTTTTAAAATTATGTGTTTAGACCTACTATTTGTTGTAATTTTAATGAATTTTTACACATAAACTTTTGCTCCGCGTCGCACTGCTGCCAAACTCTACCTCCGCCCTTGGTAATCCACAGTAAAAAGTAGGATTTATAATCTTGAAAATAATGTAGGTTATCTATTATGATACGCAAAGAAATGACCTAATAGTGTTAAATTTAATTAAAATATTAATGTATATAATTTAAATTTTAGCAGAAATGATGTTGGGAAGTGGGGTTTTTTTTTTCTTTATATTTTTGATTTTTTTTTTATTGTAGCCATATTGGTGCATAGATGGTTGCCAGGTTCAAGAAATTTGAAGAAATCAGTGCATTTGTGTTTGCAAGGGCTGGCCTTGGCTTGTGGGATTTTTGGGATATGGACAAAATTCCATAGCAGAGATGGGATTGTGGCTAATTTCTATAGTTTGCACTCTTGGATGGGTCTCTTTTGTGTTTCCCTATTTGGGGCTCAGGTATTTCTTCTGCACATTGTGTTTCCTCATCTTTCTTATATTAGCAAATTCTTTGAATTATAGAAAAAATGTGTTAAGGTCAATAATGCAATTTCTGGGGAAAGTAAATCTGGCAACTGATTCTGAAAGTTGCCTTCTTTTTCTAAGAATGTCAAAATATCAATCTATTTATTACTGTTTCTGCCTTTTAAAGGATAAGAGTATCTTCTTTTGTACTCTCTTTTCACTTCATATTATATTAGTTTAGAGAAATCTAAATTGTTCATGTTTGCTTATACAATACAGAACTTCAAACATTCTGTGGGTTCAGTTGACCTCACTCAATCCGAGGTGGATCCTCTCAGCTGTGCTTGTTCTTTATGTGGAAGTATAGGACGAAAAAAGAACTTGACTAGAGACCTCACTGTATAACGGCATTAGTATCAGGGGTGTAGCTAGCATACGAGTTTGGCCTAACTGGCCAGTAGCTTTGGTCCACCTCTGGTTGTCTTAAGATATGAACTGAGTATGTATAATTATTAATTTAGAACTCAGTAACTTAAATTGACTAGAATCTCAAACTCATAACTTTCAACTCCTGACTCCGCCTCGGATTAGTGTAATAATCTAAAAACTTGGATCCTTTTTAATGTTCCAGCTTGGCGAACTAACTTCTGCACCTTTTTGAGTGGACAAGACTATAACAAATTTAGCTCATATCTTCCTGGCATTTGCATCTTTTTGCTACTCTGGACTCTGGAGTTAAAATAGATTGCTACACTTATTGTTCTATTTTCACCTTTATCTAGCCAAATCCAACTCCTACAAACTAAATTTTTGCTCAGTGAGACTGTAAAGTAATTGTCCAACATGAAGTAAAGTGGAATTCGGGCTGTTTTTGCACTAATTAAGAATGCAGAACAGATGATTTCTCATTGAGAGAAATTGATTGAAAGTTTGATATGCTTAAGAACTAGTGATTCAATTGACAAACATAATCCTTTCCGTTTGGAATATGATTGCGATATGATAATTTGTAATGTACCTTTGTGTTTGGAAAAGAACTAAAGAAGGTTGATTGTATGTAAAGGTGTTTCATGTTATTGCAGTGGTTGATGGGCTTCTTAAGCTTTTGGCACAGAGGAGAAGTACGAATGACAAGAATACGCATTCTTCCTTGGCATGTGTTCCTCGGCCTTTATACATATGGCTTAGCAGTGGCAACAGCAGAAACAGGACTTCTCGAGAAGTTAACCTTCTTACAAACAAAAGGAGCTGTGCAGAAACGTTGCACAGAGTCGATGATCGTCAATGGTATGGGACTCAGTTTAGCTCTCCTCAGTGGCATGGTTATATTTGCTGCTGTTTTGCCAAAGCATCAGACACCACATTCTAAGACCATTTACTCTAGTAATAAGCTACATTCTTAGTTTTACAACCTCTCCGCCCTTCCAGGGTAGGGGTAAGGTTGCGTACATCTTACCCTCCCCAGACCCCACTTGTCGGAAATCATTTTGTTTGTTGTTGTATACTGATGATTATCATGTAAATATTTTTTTTTTGGTTGTTTTTGTAAATGAAGAAAGTTCATAAGTTCCTTTTTTTCCCAATCTTTTAGCAATTTGGTAAGGCCAGAATCTCCCTGCAGAGACTAATAGCAGACTTGGTTCTTCTTTAGCGTGGTTGGTACTTTCTGTGGTAAATTTCACAGATGGTATTTGAACTAATGATTTATTACACTGAAGTATCTAAACTAAATATTGTAACTAGCCAAAAATTTATCAGAAAGTAGAGGGGTTGGTCTGATAGTAAGCAACCTCCACTTCCAACCAAAATGTTGGGAGTTCGAGTCTCCCCAAGAGCAAGGTAGGAAGTTCTTGGGGGAAAGGATGCCGGGGGTCTATTTGGAAATAACCTCTCTACCCTAGGGCAGGGGTAAGGTCTGCGTACACACTACCCTCCCCAGACCCCACTAAGTGAGATTATACTGGGTTGTTGTTGTTGTTACTTCCCATATAGATTCTAATTATATCAACTAATCGAACAAACTAAGTCTGATGTTTTTAGTTTAATAATACTGCATATTTAGAGGCGAAGCTAGACGCCCGGTTACAGGTTCGGCCGAACCTAATAGCTTTTGCTCAAATAATGTATTTGTGTTAAGAAATTCATTAATTATGTACAAATATTAAATTTAACCCAATTATTAACATTTAAATTCGACGTTCAAAAAATCTGGAACCTATAAAGTTGAAATTCTGAAACAGTTTTTATGCTTATTGGATAAGTTTTCTACAAAATACACAAGTTCTACTGGATTTACATGTCTTAAAAGTTAAAACGTAGTTTGTTCTATCAAAAGGCAATTTAAAAAAAAAGAATCTTTTTTTTCTTTAAAAAAAAATATACCAAGTGAGAAATAGACTCACAAAAGGGAAAAGGTCAAAACTAGTCCATATACTATTCGAAATTGTTCAATTTTGCTCTCCATTATACTTTTGTACGTTCATATCTTTGTCCAAGCAAATTATCTTATATTTGTCCTTGCTATTAGGCAGCTCCAACATAAAATGAGTAGACTCCACGCATCAAAAAATTTCAAGAAAAATAATTCAGAATTTATCCCTTAACTTTTTACTATAGTTTAAAATTACTTTCCGTTTCGATTTTACATCAAAAATAATTTTTTTTCTAATGGTTGACGTAAAATATTAGACCAAAAATTTATCACAAGGTGAATTTGTCAATTTAAGATAATACATGAATCAATTTGACCTTAAAAAAGAAAGGGCAAAAAAGAAAAGAAGAAAAAAATAGGGGAAGTCAAAAACGAAAAGAGATTCACAGGTAGGTATAGGCTATGGACTGATATTCACTCCTCACTGAACTTCTCAAGAGAAACATCGAAGAGGAACAACTCCAATTCCAAAATCCAAATTGTTCCCTTTGAATCTAAACCCTAGAAAGCAAACACATAGCCTAAAACCCTAATTCTCTATGTATTTTACATAGAGAAAAACCCTCAGAAATGTGCTCTTCTTTAATAATCCCATCTTCTCTTACCTTTTCACCTAATTCCCATTTCATCTACCGTCAAGATTTCATTTTTCCCTCATACCCATTTCTCCTTAGGCCTAAAACTCCTAAATTTTCACTCTCTGCTTCAGTTACAGAGAAAAATGCAGAAGTTTCTTGGGGGTTTTCTGATCCTAATGCATTTGATGAGTTCAATGGTTGGGACTTTGTTGAACCTCCACTTGTCAACAAGAAGAAGAAACAAAAAGGTTACTTCCTCCCCCCTCCCCCCCACCCCCTATAATTGTTTAAAAAATGCTTTTACATAATGTCGATACAAAATATACAGGATGCTTTTTACTTTTATTTTTGTTGTTAATTTATTGTGGATGTTATTGGCCTGAGATGGGTTTATATGAAGTAACACGGTCAGTTAGGATTCGTATAGCTGACCCCAACTTTTAATATAGCTTTCATGTCACTTGAGCCCTCTTTCTTGAATGTGCATTTGGAAAGAGATTGAAATTACTTGATCATTTGCTAAAGAAACATCAAATATTATGACTTTAGACTCTAAAGTTGAGCTTAACCTTGGGGCTGGCCCATCATATACCGAGTTTAAACGTGCTTGTAACAGCCCATCCTGCTAGTGATATTGTCCGCTCTGGGCCTAGGCCCTCACGGGTTTAAAACACGTCACTGGGGTCTAAGGCTTGTTAACTTATATACCTAGCATCCCTCTTGTGTTTTGCCGATTGGACTCTGTCTAAATTCTAGGGTGTTACGTACACTCCCTCTTATCGACTCACTGCATGAGATTTGCCTAGACTCAGCACTAAGGTTTGCCCCCCCCCCACCCCGCCCCCCCCCCCCCCCCTAACCCCGGTTTTGCCTAAACTCAGTTGAACTCTGACCCACCATCTGCAAGGTTAACACAAGTGATATCATCTGTAACAGCCTAACCTGTCCGCTTCAGGCCTAGGCCCTCACGGGTTTAAAATACGTCACTAAGCGTATTGCTGATGTAGGACTCTGTCTAAAGTCTAGGGTGTTATAGTGCTCCACTGGACCTCAAGGATTTCCGGGTTATACAAATTGAGCTTAGTCTTCGATTTAAACTTTTGAGTAACAAACTTAGTCAAAATGTTCAAAAGTTGACGTGTTATGAATTAGCTAAATTATTTAGTTAAACTCTTCAACAGTTGAACAAATAAGGAAGTGGTTGGAATTTCTAATTTGATTAGTGAGGATAATAGCAGTTTTTGTGTCTTGTCACAATTCTCGATTAGATGCTAAGAACCAAAGGAAAAAGCTATGTATGTATAAAATCATAAGAAAGGGTATTTTGGTTTATGCAAAATGGGTCGAAGAGCCATAGCTGTTGATTGATTTACTTTTTGAGATTTGGTATAAATAAAAATTTAATCTTGTGATTTATTTGAGATTGAAGGAATTAGAAACTGTGGTTTTGCAGGTTTGTCAAAATTTTTGGTTATTGGCATGTCAGTGTCTCTGGCTGCTGGACTTGGTGTTGCTTCCTACTTTTCACTATACCAAAAAGGTGAGCTCTTGGATGCTTTTAACATAATGGGATAGCTGTACTGCTTTTATTACTTGGTAGTTTCTAGTGTTATTGTAGAAGTGTAATTCAGTTTTTGGGTTACTTGTTGCTTCTTCTAGGATTCAAATTTCAATTTAATGCGCCATTCGGTGGATTGCATGATAAGTTAGTACCTAATGAGGCTGCTAGTAAGGCAGAAGATGACGAAACTGCTGCTGATTTGTCGATGGAAAGTGCTCAGATTTCTGAAACAATCGAGCAGGGTGTTTCTGATTCCGATGATAAAAATGTTGTTGTGGGTAAGTTTTAGAGCTTGATGATTACCTTAAGTGGCGTTAATCACGATCAAATGCTTGTAAAAGTAATTGACTTATTTTCTTTCTTCCTTTGAACTAGTCTCATGGGAAATGCTAATATTTGCATAGAGTATCTGAATCATGCGAGGACACTGCTTTAGAGTTCTTATTTGGGTCTGGAGTACAATACTTATTTTGGTCTCTCTTCCTTCTTTGAAATATAGTTGGTTTGCTTGCCCCCTTCCATCCTTTGTTGTATGACTGTATGCCAAGGTTATTTTTAGTTGTTTAGACTTTTCCTTTTTGGGTCAGAAATGTAATTTCCTATTCAGAAGTTTGTTCTCTGTTTTTTCGTGTTTCTCTTTTTATTTTATTTTTCCTTCCTATCCTAGTTTGCTTGGCTTGGTGACTTTTCCAGCTAACCCTTCATTTTCGGAACTTTCTCCAATGAAGACAAATTAAATCATGCAGAAGAACTAAGTGGCCTTGACTAATTACTGAAGATTGTTATTATCCGTTATGATGGACCATAGTTGTTGAACTTTCTTTTTTATATACGTAAATTGGTCCTTAGCTTTCTGATAAGATGCTGAATTTATCTTGAAATTCACTCCTTGGTTGAAAAAAGGAAAAGGATTAAATGAATAAAGAAATAACTAGTGTCGTACCAAAACAAGCCTCAGTATAGTCTGCTTAACTGGAAGCAAGGGCAGAAAAACCATGCTGCAAAAAGAGAGCTAAAGAAGCAAAAGTCCAACCAAAAGAGCTGTAAATATGTTCAAGAGAAAAAAAAGTCTCGGCACCAATTTAACTGAGTAATAACTGAAACAAGAGACGAGTTTTCTACAATAGAAGGCCATCACTTTATAGCTACTCTAAGGCCCAACCCAAATCCTGTGAAACCAAGACTCCTTTTCTAGGTAATTAACTGAAAAGAGTGGAGTAACTCTTGAATCTTAAACCAACTAGGAAACTGATAAAACTAAAGAACTCCTCCTGAAACAACTTTCCATCAGATAGACTAGACAGCAACTATTCCTAATTTCCTGGAAAATGTACACCAGCAATATTCTGATTTCTTTTCTGCTCCTTTCTTTGCATCAGTAAAAGAAACTTGTATGGCTAGTCCTACCATGCAAGTTTAAGTTGACAAATTTCTTTTTTCATTTTATTCTCGTCCGTAATTTGAAGTAGAAACGATATGTGAAGACAATTAAATAGAATTTCTCACTCAAGGCAGGTCAGCATTCACCCATGTTATGTCATTAAGTTTGAGCTTGATTTGGTGCTTACTGTTAGACTGCCTTTATTCTTTTTCCACTTTACTTGCGGCAATGTGTGTACCGGTTTCTCTTTTGTTGAATTACTTCCAATGGTCGCAGTCTTGTTGATAAGCTTTTGATTTTGATTTTATCCTTACTGGCCTAAACCTCTGGTTCTATCATTTTGAAGAGACCAGCCATGTTACAACTAAAGGAGTAGCTAGAGGAGTACTTGGACGTATTACAATTCCCTTTGCTGTAGATTCTACTCAAGAAGAAGCTGTTTTCGTGTTGAAGAAACTCAAGGTATAGTCTCCTGACCTTTATTCCATTTGAGAGAAATAAGCTCTCCTGCTGTACTTGTACTTTTTTTTTGTCAGAGCTATGTTTTATTATGGACTTGGATACAGTTTATTTACTTAAAGCGCGACTGAGTTTGAAGTGCACGATAGCCGTAAAGCTCTGTAC